TATTTAATGAAAACCTACTGTGTGCTAGGACCCTTGTCATATATTATTTAATTCAAGCTTCATGATCAGTTATGGCTGGCGTCACTACTAGTCCATTTTACAGATAGGGGAACTGTGGACCAAAGAGGTTGGGGTATTCCTCAATGTTCCATGGCCTCCAAGTCCCATACTCTTTGCACATATCATAATACTTCAATTTTGAACATTTTACTGAGTTAGGAGACTTTTTAAATAGCAAAACAATAATAAATAAGAAGAAGAACAAAACGCCTGTGAGCAGTCTATGTTGGTCAGGAGTTGCTGCTTCTCTAAAGTCCAGTAAGCCCTTAGCTTTGCTTTCCTGAACTTTGAATTTCAGTTGCACATCAAGCCTGGAGATGAGCAAATGCTGATGCCACAGGAATAGCAGCAGGTGGCAACGCTCAGGGAGTGCCCATGCTCCTCCGGCATGACACGCCTGGCCAGGCTGTCGTTCACGTGAAACAGTGCCCAGAAAGACTGGGGACACTAGGTCTGCCAACACAAGTGGTTCTTTCCTGATTAATGAAAGTTTAATGTCCAAGGTTATAAACTGCTGAGAGGGGAATAGGAAAGAGCTAATTTGTGTAGTCTCTGGTCACCAAAATGTAAGTAGGTCTGCTTTGGACCACTGACTTGGAACAAGACAGACTGTCCATGCACCTGTCCTGTGACTCTGGACAAGTTACTTGCCCTCTCTGAACCAGAGCTTCCTATGCATCAAATGGGGGTAGTAAACATTTCCTTAGAGAGGTGCTGAGATTAGAGATGATATATGAAAAGAACCAGTTACATTATAGAACCTCAAAAAAATGATAACTATTATTGTTGTTATTGTCATAGTTATAACAAGAATAATTAGTATTAATACTAGTAGCATCTCTCAGCAGGTGGAATGTTTTAGTTATTTCAAAAAACATGTTCCTGAAAACTTATACTTTTCTATAATCATAGTCATTCCATCATTTCCCCCTTTTATTTGCCTCTTTCTTTATTTACCTCTGGAACCATATAATATTTTTTATTTGCCTTTTCTTGAATTAGATTTTTGTTTAATACTCAAGGGAAAAGCCTGTAGAATGAACCCACACCCAAACAGTGCCATATTGGAGGATGCTGATGGCTTAGATCAATCACTTTGAGTTTAATTATAGTTTTTTTTTTACCAATTTAGAGCACAAAAATATAAAGATTGAAATAGATTTAGAATAAAAAAACAGTGGTTTCTGGCATTAAATACAATTAGGGAGCACAGTTTGGTTTTGGGGGATTGGGCAGGATGGTAGAGACAATGAATTTTTTTTTTAACAGTGTGTTTTGAATTTTATTTTTCATCAAGATAAAATCTAAACATAGGAAATTCAAAGATTCAGAGTCTATTTCTTTAAATGAAAGAACATTTAAATTTAACTATGAATTATAGAATAAATTATTGGAACTGGTTACTAATAAATCCTTTGAAGATAAATAATGAAAATATAGCATTTCTTGCCTAATTTTGAAATAATGATTCTTGAATGCCTACTGCTTACAGGTACTTTACAAACTCATTTAATGCTCCTATGAAGTTGACAGTCCACTTTATAGAGGAGAAAAATCAAGGCTCATAGAATTAAAAAAAAATAAACTTAATCAAGATCATATGTTTAGTAAATGCTAGAGCTAAGCTAATGTTCTTCCCAGTATTCCTTAATGAACCCAAGAGTGCAATCATTCACTAGCTGCCTGATTTTGGAGAATTTCCTAATTCTCAGTTTCCTCATCTATAAAATGGAGGGTATGGATTAGGAACTACATGGTCTAAAGACATTCCTTGTGGCTTTAACATTCTATGAGCATAAGGAGTGGGTGAGCATGATTATAAGGAGTGGCTATTTATGAACCAATCAGGGTTATTGAATAAACACCTCTCTACTAGGTCAAAGTAGAAAGGGAAGGGCGAAAGGTAAAAAAAAAGAAAAAATACTTTTGACGAGAAGCCTATAAAAACTCTGTGTTCCCAAATATTCGTCCTATTTGGCAGCTGCTGCCTCACCTACAGCTTCTAATATCTAAGAGGACTCTTCTCTCCTAAACTGTAAGTAAAACAACTTCCCTTGTATACTCGGACTGCACCAGTAAATAAGGGGTTAGTGATAGCACTAAGCCTGTACAGGGGAAGGTTTATCTGCCTTTGTTTTCAGGAAAAACTTGATAGTGGCTGAAAACTTGATGGATCTGCTGAAATGATTATTTCTCTCCTTCTGAGCACAAATGCTCATTGGTACCTTTCCTAGCTTTTTGAGTGGTGGCAAATCACTCAAGATTGATTGCCAGTTACATGTGTTACCTGTATGAGGCACTCCTGAGTCTTTGGTCTAGGAAAAGCAACTTGAACACTCCTATTTGGTTAGGTTCTAATCAATTTTTGAGATTCCTGGTCATTTTGGCTCTCTCTTTTCATAACAACTACTTATTTCAGTGATTTATTTACATATTTTACTGCCTTATGTCATTTTCTACATTCTCTTCCCACACCTACTGATACTAGGACTGAAGTCTCTTTGTCGCAGAAATGAACCCTTGCAGTGTGTTGCCCTTTGTCTTCACCCACTGCTCACATGGGGAAATGGCATAGGGCTGGAAACTTCACAGGGCATAGTCTTCATTTGATTATGAATTTTCAAACCTTCCTCTTGTTTGACACTTTCTAGAACATTTCCTACTAGCACCAGATACTGTGAAGACCCTATAGCTTAAGATATTAGAAATCAAAAGGTGTCGTATTTTGGTACATTTGCTTTACTATCTGAAAAATTGACATGTTGTGAGGCTATGTTGCCTTTTTTATAAACTTCTATTTAAATAGCCACCTTGGGCTCTATTAGCCAACTTGAATGCATGCAGCAGGGGCTTGAGCTGGTGTAGTAGTCATCATTTTGGCCAAGGCACACCTGGGAAGAAACACCCAGACCCAGGTTGGAGTTGGGGGTGCTGGAACAGGGAGTGGGTACCGTTGCAGAAAACCTACGAGTTCCTTTGGCTTAGGTGCCAGTTTTAAGGAAAGAACGCTACTCGAGCCTCTTTCTGGGCTACTTCACATGTGTTCAAAGGATCAGGCAGCCGTAGGGCTGCCCTTGATCATCTCCCTGTGCTTATCACTGGGGCATTAAGATGAGTAATGAAGCTGTGGACATCTTCAAGCATCATATATAAAAGGTTACGTATGGTGCCTGGCAATCATAGGCTTTCAATGAAAAAAATCCCTCATGTCTACCTTAAAAATCCACCCACCTTGTGGATAGAGAAGCAAATAGACTCTATGCTGCTTTAAATTAATATTTCTTCAGGAATTAAATATCCATATTTGGCAAATAATTATCTTTTCACAGATCCTCTTTAAGGAAAGCAGAAAGAACCACCGCTTGTGGTTCTGTTAATTTGCTTAAGGATTAGAAATAGGGTTCCAAGTCATAAGCTAGTAGGATATGACTTGTGATCCTAGAACATCACATTTTAGAAGGTGCATCAGATTCAGTCTCCTTGGGCCTCAGTTTCCTCATCTGTAAAGTGACAGGGTTAATACAAATATATCTGAGGTCCCTTGTACCTCTGTTTTTCTGTGGTTATCTTTTATCGTTAATACAATCTTCCCCCAGATTTGTATACATATTGCCTGTTAAATATAATGTAATAAATTATACACACACACACAGACACACACACACCTATTCATTAAGAAGTCAACCATTACAAAGAATGTATAAAGTGAAATGTGGGGGTCTCTCCACACTATCCCATACTCCAGAGATGACCCCAGGGTGGTTACTCTTTGTTTATATAGACACACAAACAGTATGTGTGTATACCTTTTTTTTAGTTAAAAAATAAGATGATAGTATACATTGCATACTTCTCCGAAATTTGCTTTTTTTCAGCTAAGAAGTTGGCTTGAGATCTCAGTGAGCAGAGGCTTAAGGGCATAAGAATCATTACCCATTCCAGCTGGCCTGTCTCCCAGTGGTGAACATTGGCCTGTGACCCTGTTTTATGATTAACAGAGGGGCCACATTTGTGCTGATGTGGTACAGACCTTTAATCTCTCTGTAGAAGTTTAACTTCTTGTAAACGGTATTGGTTGAACTTGACCTTTTCTCTGTTATTCTGGTTGAATCAGCACACCCAGATTGAAGGAAACAGCTTATAAACAGATAGTAAAGAAAAACACGGAGATTCCTTAGGTAATTATTTTTTTAAATGAAAAAAATAAATAGTAATACCGTACATTTTCATAATAAAGCATCTTCATGTTTATTGTAAAACTCAACAAATATATTTTGAGCAACTACAAGGAGCAGGGTGCTCACAGGTTGCATTTGAATCACTTGGCAATGAGACAAACAGAGCAGTTAGTATCACTATTTAATTCATGGTAAACTAAGATCAGTGAAGTTGCCTGACTTGCCCAAGGTTCCAGCTAGGGGAAGCAGAGCTGGTTCTTGATCCCAGGTCTATCTGATCTACTAGCAACAAACCTCTATGTGAACGTGTTAGATGTTCATGAATTGGGAATTCAGTGGTGCAGTGACCAGCAGCCTACGGCACTCTGCAGTGTCATCAAAGAGATTTGGAGTCATCCAAAGGCCAATTCTTTTTACAAAGCTTACTCTTTCCCTTGAATAGAAAGAAGTACTGCCCCTTATCCCAACTTTGTGCTTTATTAGCTATTTTTCCCTAGACAAATAACTTAAACTCTCTTATTTTCTATCCTAATCTATTAAATGGCAGGGGTTGGGGGAAGCCCAGCCACCTTCTGGGATTATTATGAAGAATAAATTATATAGCACCTGCAAAGCAATTAGCAGAGTGCTTGACAATAAATTATAACTTACTATTGGGCTGTTTATTCCTTTTGCTTTACATCTTTATTTTTTGGTAATTGTTAACTCCTTTCTGCTCATACCTCAACTGAAGGTAAAATTTGTGCCTTGGTCTGCCGGTCACCATTCCCAGGTTGGATTTTGTCCACATGAAGATCTGGAGGCCAGGTTGAAAGCTAAAAATTTCTGACTCCAGATATCAGAAGAACATCAGAAGCTAAACAGCAAACACCATCTGCCGGTGGCTGGGATTTGATGGGGCTTTGGAAGATCATCTTTTCTAGAAATTATTGTCCACTAGCTTGTCATAGCACCCAAATGACAGCATTTCAGTTCCATTTTGGGAAATTAAGACAAGAACCTCTGTTGAAGTGGCGAGTGGCAACAATGAGGTTATCAGTTATACCCTCTCATGAATTAGTTCAGTAGCCAGTGACTCTTTAGAGCAAGGGACAGGAGACTGAGAGCCTGTCCTGAAGGAATACAGAATACGTGGATAAATGGATTTGTCATGAGGACAAATCATGACTGGGTAGGGAGCTCTGCCTTATGCCAGCTGAGACCTTAGGCAACTCAAATAACTTCCCTAAGTCTTAGCTTGCTCATTCATCAATAAAGATAATACCTGCTCTGATTACTTTATTGCTGAGTGGATCAAATGAGCACTGAGGTCCCTGGGCTTCTAGGAAGTAGTATATAGGAATGGGACACCCATCCTGCATTGAGTTTTTGCAGGAAGAGGAGATAGAGAAAAGGAAGAGATCACAGGATTGGATAGGAAGCTACTCAAGATAATTTTCACTATCATTTTCTTTTTCTTTTATAGCCCACCCTATAGAAAAATCACCCAAAGCCTCATGGGCTTGCATTGTCAAGACTAACCCAAAGTGGCAGCTGAACAGGGGCAATGATCCCCTTCAGAGCTTTCTCAGACCACTGCTGAGGAAGCTGCTTTGGTAGGGGGTCTTCAAGCCAGAGACTCTCCTTGCCAAAGCAATGAAGCTGGAGCAGACATCAACATATGACTTCAGCATGCTCAGAGGCCACGAGAACCCCCAGCCCAGAGGCATTTAGGAAAAATCCTCCCTGGTCTGCCTCACGTGGTTTCATAGATGGTTGAATATAAGAAAAAGGAACCTTGCAGCACACCCTCTAGGGCCCAAAGCTGAAGAGAGGGTAACTTCAAGGCTGCGTATAGATGTCTCCTCTCAAACTTATTGCCTGGAGAATAATCTGTTGGGGCTACAGACTAACAGAGCAAAGTAGAGAATAACCACAAAGGCCAAGAGCCTCACTGTCCTGGCCTCATACCACCCAGGGTACCCCCATGACACCAGGAAAAACAGAATAGGGAATACACAGGAATACACAGAATAGTCCATTACTGCAGTTCCTCTGTCTATCAGCTTTTAGTAGGTAGCCAACTAGCTGGTTCAACCTCAGGATCAGTGAACCCAAAGGTCTCCCAGAATTCCATTTAGGATCACTGTGAACACCTTCATTCAAATGGCTAATTGCAACTACTTAGATGAAGGGGAGCAGAGCAGACCTCATAAATTTATCCAGCTGTCAAAATAGGCCAGAGGTATCAGAGGGGTCTGCACGGCTTGTCTGAGTACCCACCTTCTTGGTCATGAATCCATTTGAGCCAGCCCCGGTTTTGTGTGTGACTCTCCTGAACTCTTTTCCAGACCTGTCACCATGGCCCACCAATACCCAGCTCTCACCTCAGAGCAGAAGAAGGAGCTCTCAGCAATTGCCCAGCGCATTGTTGCCAATGGAAAAGGGATCCTGGCTGCAGATGAATCTGTAGGTGAGTGTAAGAGTGAGCCACATGATACAACAGCATACTCTTGTTTTGATACTTAGCAAAGGTAACTGGATAATCTTACTCTCCTTCCTCTCTGGGGAAGTAAAGATTTATGTACACAGGAGCAGGAGCAGAAGTAAGCATAGACTGTTTGAGTCCCCTAATTTAATAGGCAAATTCCTGAAAACTAAGGAAAGAGGCTCAAGCTCTTCATTTTAAGGCCTCTTGCCAGGGGTCTTTGAATCCAGCCTGTGGCATAGCCAGGATGAGGTCAGTTGCACGGCCATCTGCCGCTAATGAGAAGCCAGTTTCATGTCAGCCAAGTCAGGAAGGGCAGGGAGGTATCTGCATCGAGAACAAGGCAGGGCTTACAGCTGAGAGAATCTCAAGCTGGCACAAGGGAGAGCTGTGGTAGAGTGGCACAGACTATCATAAGACCACAGAAGCCAGAGAAGTCAAGCCTGCTGTATCCCCCTTCCACTGTGTGCACATGAAGTGAGGTTGAAGACTGGAGCAGGGGAGGGATAGAGAGACCTGAGGGCCTTGCCTATCCACGGGACCCAGTGGTGGCTTCCACGCTGACCCCACATGTCCAGCTCATACAACTCCTAACCAGCATCCTGGCAGCAACCAGGGTCTTCCCCCGGGAGGCAAAAACTGAGGCAGGAGCTTTGAAGATCTTTCCATCCCATCCTGGTGGGGGTCACAGAGGTGTCCCAGCTTGCCCTTCATGCTGCCCTTGGCCTGCCCACCTTAGGAACCATGGGAAACCGCCTGCAGAGGATCAAGGTGGAAAACACCGAGGAGAACCGCCGGCAATTCCGAGAAATCCTCTTCAGCGTGGACAGTTCCATCAACCAGAGCATCGGGGGAGTGATCCTCTTCCATGAGACCCTCTACCAGAAGGACAGCCAGGGAAAGCTGTTCAGAAACATCCTCAAGGAGAAGGGGATCATGGTGGGAATCAAGGTGAATACTTCCATTCATGCCTCACCTCTGCCTGGCATCCTGGGCAAACTCCCCGCACAATGGCCAGGGCAGGGCCAACACACCTAACATGCTCATCATCTCGTTTCTCCTCTCACTATTTTCCATCATCATCTTCCCACTGAGAGCCAGATCTTCTTCTAGACTTTTCCCTCCAGTGCACTCTTTTTCCAACCAAGTTTTCTACCAGGGACCTTGATAAATCAATTTTCTCAATTCTTCAAATAGAGTAATAGTGCATAGCTCGTAATTGTCTTAAAAGAATGAAATGCGTTTTTAAAACAGTTCCTATCACATTAACGATTATTCATGTAATGGTAGCTGTTATAATTAAAGCACTTACTGTTCTGTATTCTAACTTAGTCTTCCAATAGCACATGAACTTCCCAAGAATGAAAACTAGTATTTGCAGAATGCCTACAATTCCAAGCACTCATTTAATCCTCCTCACAATCTCTGGAGGTAGACTCAATTACTACCCTTATTTTACAGATGAAAAAACTGAATGTAACCTGCCCACATGGCAAGGCAAAGTTGGAGCCAGTTCAGACTCAGGCTCATGACATTAGCTCACATGTTGAGAGTAGAGGCTGCATCCTTATTTTCTTTACCTCTGTTTGAACACAATGCCTGGTATGTGCCGATAATGTCAGGCTAGACACTCTCACATTGCTCCTTCCCTTGTGCTATGGACTGAAGTGTGTTCCCACAATGACTAGTGCACTTTCTAATTCAACTCCTTGGTTTGTAAAAGATGTCAACTATTAGTTAGCATCAGGAATTCTGCTTGTGTTTTACTGACATCTGATACCTGCTAATTACTTGTTAATACCTGTATCCACAGTTGGACCAAGGAGGTGCTCCCCTTGCAGGAACAAACAAGGAAACCACTATTCAAGGTAAGGATATTGCCTGCTGATATGAATCATGCCAATGTGGGCGAGAAATGAAGTCAAATAAAGAAGGGAGCAAAAGAAAAGAACATATGAATATAACGCTGGTCTTAGATCCATGCAGACCTTGTTTTCAATCACAGCTCCTCCCCTTAATAACCTCTGTGACCTTGAGACAGTCATTTAAATATCCTGAGCCTCAGTTATCCTATCTTTAAAGTGGGATAACTATTGTGGGGGTTAAATTAGACAATGTACATAAAGTGCTTACCACAGTACTTTGCACAAATAAAATACTCTGTACCTGGAACTATTACTTTTAGAAAAAAAATCTAGAAATAGTAGAGAGGGAAGGCATCCAAGCTGTGGGATCAGACACACCTGAGTTTGAATCCTGTTTCTATCACAGGCTACTTAGATAATTTTGCAAGGTATTTCATTGCCTGAAAGAACAAGCATTAACCACAGCATTGGGTTGACTAAGCAGAATTTGAATCTCAGTCCTATCATTCTTTAGATGTGCAAACTTGGTAAAGTCACTTAACCACTCAGGGCCTCAGTTTCCACATTTGTAAAATGAGCATAATATTAAATTAACTATTGGTTCCCTCTATTCTACTTATGAAGTAGCCAGCATACACATCAAAACCATATTTATTCGTGCTAGGTCTTTTGGTCCAGCATTGTGATTAATGTTTATATGCTTGGGGGTTTCGATCCTCAGACTCTGTGGACCCAAAGCTAAGCCAAGGGAGAATTCCTCCATGTTGTCAGAGGCCTCCTGGATCAGGTACAGGGGTGCAAAGAAGCCTTTCTCTCACTTGTGACTTGCAGGGCTTGATGGCCTCTCAGAGCGCTGTGCTCAGTACAAGAAAGACGGAGTTGACTTTGGGAAGTGGCGTGCAGTGCTGAGGATTGCCGACCAGTGTCCATCCAGCCTCGCCATCCAGTCAAATGCCAACGCCCTGGCCCGCTACGCCAGCATCTGTCAGCAGGTGCCGTGCCTCCCTGTTGGGCTGGAAAGCAGTAGGCTAGAGCTTTCTTCAGAGTCTCTCTTTTCAATTTCGCCATAACTGCACATGAGCCTTCCTCTTCCCTCACTAGTATATTCTAGTGGCATTTTTCCACTACTTTTGCTACAGTCCAGTATGCTAGGGAAAGATGTGGCCCCATAAGCCTGTAGGAGTCCAACGAGGCTATGAGTTCAAAGGCTAACGTCATCAACTGCTGCCCTCTGCTGAAGCTCTATAAGCTGTGTCAAAAATGGTCAGGCTCATGAGGACAGGCCACTTACTTGTCCATACTCCATAACATCCAAGATATGACCCTCTTGGATCTCCAGCTGGAGGATGATAGCTCTGACAGAGTTCCAATCCAAATAATTTCTCCCAGGATGGTGACCTGAGCTAAAGTTTCCAACACATATTGAGGTGACTCTGGGTCCAAGTTAAGTTTGATTTGCTTCTGTAGGTCCTATGTTGGGGTTACGGGAGTTGGGGGCACCTGGAGATTCCCAACTAGAACCGTAAACACTGCTTGAATTCCTTCATTAACCCAAACTAAAGGTATCTTTTTTAGTGGTTTAAGCATGACTGCCCTAAAAGGGTGGCAGCTAGGTATTGAAGTAACTAGAAGAGTCTGTAATATTAATAAAAAATACAGAAATTAAGGATTTGTATTTATGTTATTTTTATATATTTATATATATTTATAAATATATATTTATATATATTTATTTTTATATATTTATATATATTATTACCCCATTCTGAAAAGCTTTTAAAAAATCCCACTGTTCTTTTTTGGTTAAGCCACAAATACTCACTAGATACCCCATCAATTTCTTTTCACTGTTTTTAAGTCACCTATACAGTATTTCTCCATAAGGGCTTCACCTTATACCATTGCAACTGTTGCATCTCCTCCTAAAGAAAGGATCACAGTGAGCACAGCTTCAATTTTTCTCCCCACTTTTCCTTTCAGAATGGGCTAGTACCTATTGTTGAGCCAGAGGTAGTTCCTGATGGAGACCACGACCTGGAACACTGCCAGTATGTTTATGAGAAGGTAAGTCTTAAATATAAAGGTCCCCATTCTAGCTGAAAAATCCTCTTTTTATTTATTTTTTTTATTTTTTGAGACAGAGTCTCACTTTGTTGCCCAGGCTAGAGTGAGTGCCGTGGCGTCAGCCTAGCTCACAGCAACCTCAAACTCCTGGGCTCAAGCAATCCTGCTGCCTCAGCCTCCCGAGTAGCTGGGACTACAGGCATGCGCCACCATGCCCGGCTGGCTAATTTTTTCTATATATATTAGTTGGCCAATTAATTTCTTTCTATTTATAGTAGAGACGGGGTCTCGCTCTTGCTCAGGCTGGTTTTGAACTCCTGACCTCCAGCAATCAGCCCGCTTCGGCCTCCCAGAGTGCTGTGATTACAGGCGTGAGCCACCGCGCCCAGCCCCAAATCCTCTTTTTAAGTAGCAGCTATTACTTAACATATAACAGCTGTACATTTGCAATAGTCTTTAGGTTATAATCATTACATAGCATTGAGAAAGTAAGGACGCGCTTATCCATCCTTCACTTTTTTGGTACGTGGAATGCTCCTTATGGAAGAAGCACAAGATTTGCAGTGCCAACACTTGGATTGGGGAATTCACTTTTCCCCATTGTGGGATCTTGAGCAAGTGATATTATCTCTCTTGGACCTCAGTGTACACTAAGAAATTTAAAAATAAGATATGAGGCTCATATAAGAAAATGTAATGAGAAAGTACTTTATTCACATTTGACTTTCTAAATTAGACAGAGTATATCTAAAAGACAGTGGTTCTCATACATGGTAAGAAAGTAAGAGAGTCATAATATCACCTGACCTTAGTTTCTCCACTTGCAAAATTATGTGGGCTGAAATGAGATCTAAAAGCACTTCTGTCTCTAAAATGTATGGGGGTTTGGGGGGTTTGTTTTTGTTTGTTGTTTTGTTTGAGACATGGTCTCACTCTGTTGTCTGGGTTAGAGAGCAGTGGCATTACCACAGCTCACTGTAACCTCAAACTCCTGGGCTCAAGCTATCTACCTGCATTAGCCTCCTGAGTAGTGAGGACTACAGGCATGCACCACCATGCATGGATAATTTTTAAAAAAACTTTTTGTAGAGATGGGGACTTGCTATGTTGCCCAGGCTGGTCTCAAACTCCTGGGCTCAAGTGGTCTTCCCGCCTCAGCTTCCCAAAATACTATGATTATAGGCATGAGCCACTGCACCTGGCCTCTAAAATGTATATTTTTATGACCACTCAGCTTCTATGGGATGGAGAATGGAGGCCAGTTTAGATGTCCCCCACTAGCAAAATCAAGAGGGGATGACATTGACCAAGGGAGTAATGGGAAGAAAGGAATGAAGGGCCTTCAGGAAGCAGACCTATGCCAATAGTTCGTGCAGTGGAGCAGCTGTAATAGATTAGGGATTGAGGAAAGGGATTAGGGATTTGAGGAAAGGCCAACTTGATTGTGCTCAGTGGCTATTGTTTGCAACACATTTCCCTGATGAGGTCAAGAGGCTGGTTAGGAAGCTTTGGCCAAAATGGGAATTCTTCCATCCTGCATCCCTGTGGTGTAGAAGTGCTAAGGTCAAGTATCTCTCTAAGACTAGCTTTGCATTTCACCTGTTTGTACCTCTTTCCTTCAGGTCCTGGCTGCTGTCTACAAGGCCCTGAATGACCATCATGTTTACCTGGAGGGCACCTTGCTAAAGCCCAACATGGTGACTGCTGGACATGCCTGCACCAAGAAGTATACTCCAGAACAAGTGGCTATGGCCACCGTCACAGCTTTCCACCGTACTGTTCCTGCAGCTGTCCCTGGTGAGGCCTTCTTTCTTCCCTAACTCGAGGTTTTAGCCCTCATCCTTTGAAGGAGAGCCACAAGCATTTGAGTTTGTCTAGAAGTCTGCTTCTATTCGTGAAACAGTCCTCTGCTATCTCACTGGCAGCCAGCATTTCCCCTCCCACTCCAAGATGCCGAGCATCTTGAGTCTGTCCAAACACACACAATCCATGTATAACCTCACTGCACTCTTTACTTACTTAAAACCCTTCTCTCTTTAGCCCAACTAGCCTCAGCAAAGGTAAACTGATTTCTCAGGGACTGACCCAGTCCCATGCAAATCAAGCAGAGAAAAGATTGAGGCATTACGTTGCTTTTCGGCTCACTGTTTGCTTTCTCAAGCAGGGCACATAAGTTGGGACTAATAGAGTGGAATGGCCTCTCTCCTACCAGGCATCTGCTTTTTGTCTGGCGGCATGAGTGAAGAGGATGCTACTGTCAACCTCAATGCTATCAACCTTTGCCCCATACCAAAGCCCTGGAAACTAACCTTCTCTTACGGACGGGCCCTGCAGACCAGCGCACTGGCAGCCTGGGGTGGCAAGGCCGCCAACAAGAAGGCAACCCAGGAGGCCTTTATGAAGCGGGTTGTGGTAAGACGCTGCTACTTCTTATCTACTTGATCAAGTTCATACTTGAGGCTTGACGTTTTCACATGAAGAAGCATGAAGATACTTTCACATGAAAGTATCTACAGATGGTGTCTGCTGGGTATTTGAAAGTGTGGCATTGGGGCTCAGTAAGAGGATTGGGGCGAGAGAGAGTTTTCAATTATCCAAACTGGTAGCATAGATGGCAGTAGATGGAAGGGTAATTTCAAAAGAGACACTGCAGAGGGAAGCAGATAAGATGGCCAAGGACTGAACCGAGGACACCTCTCATTTGGGGAAGACGAAGAAGAAAAGCCACAATTATATGATATAATGAACCAAGGGTTCTGGGAACAAAGAGTAAAGAGTTTCAAGGGGTCAATAATAACATGCTACAGAGAGATTCAAAACAGAGGCTGAGAAAAGCCACTGAAATTGGCATGTAGGGGCATATAAGTGACTGTCAACAAACTGGTTTCAATAGAAAGACAAGAGGAAAGGTGCTCATTCCAGAAGTGTGTCAAGAAAAGACACAGAAAGGTTGCCAGGAGAAATGGGAACCAGAAAAAGGTTTTATTCAACTAGTAACCATTATTTTTTTAACACCCTCTGTGAGCCAAGGACTGGGGTGAACAAATCAGACATAGCCATGGCCCTCAGGAAGCTTGGACAAATAGGAAAGAGCTTGGCATGTTTACATGTAAAGCAAAAGAAGCCAGAGGAGAGAGTAAAGACCTGGAGAGTGGAGATAATTGAGGGGAGAAGGACTTAGAAGAAATGGGGCTGCATGAGACTAAATATTAAATAAAAGTGGCATAGTTGGTCTTAGAGACAAAAAGAAGGGAATAGACAGAAAAGAAAAAAGAGAAGGGGGTTGGAATCAGCTCTGTAGAGGTGAAGGGATGTAGCAGTGGATGACTGGTTACAGTGAGGACTGAGAATGATAAAGAAACAGAGATTTCAATCCTGACAGTGGGAAAGGTTAGAATAGCTATTAAAGGAATTCGCTAGGAAATTGACCAGAAATCATGGCTGGACATTATGGCCAAGCATCAAGTAAGGTATAACTGAAATAAGAATGAGTTTGTGGTATGTTAGCTTTATTCTTGAATTTTCCTAACAGCTCTCTAAAGCATGAGGAGGTTCAAAGAAACCTGAATGGGGAACAGCAGGGCAGATGAGTAAAAGTTTAATAGAGAGATAGAAGAGTGACAAATTTTAGTGATAGCTTCATTTAGCCTGCTGATCATGAAGGGGGCTGGTCAAGGAATCGAGTGTAGTCAGAAATGTGCTCATGAAACCCTAAAGGAAGCTAAAAAAATTATCTCAGGGGCATAAGAGGTGTGAGATTTTAGAGTTAGTGTTTTACCTTGGTGTCTGGTTGATGGGGTAGGGAAAGGTAGCTCACATGCTGGAGGGATTATGAAAGTACAGTCAGACAGGACACTGAGTTTATCATCCAGGATGCCACTTCTCAAGCTCAAGTGTGCTGATGTTTTTATTGATACATAATTATATGTATTTATAGGGTACCTGTGATATTTTCATACATGCATACAATGTGTGATGATCAATCAGGGTAATTAGGATACTGATCACCTCAAACTTTTATCATTTCTTTGTGTTGGGAACATTCCAAATCTTCACTTCTAGCTATTTTGAAATATATAATAAGTTGTTAACTGTAGTCACCCTACTGTGCTATGGAACAACAGAGCTTATTCCTTTTATCTAACTGTATTTTTGTTCCCATTAACCAACCTCTTTTCATCCCCCCACACCTTGAAGTGCTTGTTAAAATCCAGATCGCTGGGCCCCAGCCACCCACCAAGTTTCTAGTTCAGGAGGTCTGGGTTGAGGCCAGAGAATTTCCATTTCTGACACACTCCTAAGCGATGCTGGTCATCTGTGAAACATACATTGAGAATCACTGACGTAAGATGTAGAAACAAGTCCTGGAGAGAATGGACAATAGCAACAGAAACTGGAAGAAGTGGTAGCACTGAGTGGCATTTGAGTATTACCATGGTTTAATAAGCAATAGTAAGGTTTCATAATTCTGAATTAGTACCTTTAGTTGGAATTTCTATGGGGAATCAAATGATACTATGATAACAGCTAAATAGAATTTACATATTCTTGTGGACAAGTTTCTCAACTTTAATTTCTAGTACTATTGTTGCAATATTATTGGTGCTGAAAAGAGATTTTTCCCAGTAACTGATACAAACTGATATAAACCTCAGGTTTTCTAAGGAAATGCTCAGAAAACTGGGATGATAAAAAAAGGGAGATTAGGAAGGCGGTGGTGTCGGCAGCAATATTTAGCAACATCACTGTAAGGAGAACAAAATCCAAATGAAGGTGTGGCTGGCTTCCTATGCAAAGTAGGCAGGATTAAAGTGGGGCTGCATTTACTCTAACTCTGTCTCCTGTCTCACGCTTGTCTTCTAGGCTAACTGCCAAGCAGTCAAAGGACAGTATGTTTACACTGGCTCTTCCGGGGCCGCATCCACCCAGTCACTCTTCGGGGACTTCTATAGCTACTAGGACCTGAAGCTCGCCAGCCTGGCTCCTGTGCTTCCAGGTGTCTCAGCAGGAGGGCTGAAAGGGAATGACCTTTCAACCAACACTGGAAATGAGAAAATATTAGATTGGAACTGCTGGAAACACAAAACATGTTAATCTTAAACATACGAGAAAAAAAACAAATCAAACGAAACACCTCAAAAGCTGAGCATAGAGAAGTAGAGAAATGCAGCTTATGAAACAGTCTTAGCAGTGGTAGGTTGGGAAGGAGAAATCTGCAACCTTAAGAAGAAATAAAATGCTCTATAAACCTTCCTTTGGTATTGGGTTTTACTTTTCTGCTCTTGTTGTTGAAGGGCTCGGTGTATCTCATTACCTTTGACTCTACTACACATGACTGATGTTAATGGTCAGGGCCCTCAACTTTGGCTACTCACTGGAGTCAAATAGCAAAATTTAAAAAACCCAGATGATGCTCAAGCCACACCCTAGCCCAATTAAATCAGAAACTCTAGGTGTGGAATCCTCTATCAGATTTCTTAAAGCTTCTCAATGATTCCAATGTGCATTCAGGTTTGAGAACTACCAATCTGAATTTTAAGTTTGAAAATTAAAGCCATCCTAAACCTTTTGTAATAGTCCAAGTGGTCAGTACTGGGCATCAGTACACATGAACATGCATAAAAATCAATCGACAAGGATTCACTCAGCACCTACTGTATGCTCAGCACTGTAAAGATACTACATGGTCCTTGTATGCTTACCATTGAGATGAGGAAGACGAGGGTACATTTAGGAAACAAATACAATGGTATACAATAATGTGCTAAGTTGCAGTGGTACAGGCTTGGTACTGAGATCAAAAGAGGAGCAATGCTTTACAGAGGAGGTAGGATGAGCTGCTGGCAGTTTATTACTAGTTATATGATCTTGAGAAAAATACTTAGTCTTTCTGAGTCTCAGTTTTCACATCTGTAAAACAAGGTTGTTGTGAGGGCTAGCAATATTTTATGAACAGCGCCAGACACATGAGTTGTGAATAAATATTAGTTATATTAGTTATATTTGTTCCTTGTTAGCTGGCTCTTGAAGAATGGTGAAGGCACTTGATTGGAATGAACATGCATTATCTTTGTCCTGAGTAGAGTACAGACTCTGTTGAGGGAATTGTGGGAAGTCAGCCTGGAATGGTGAGGCCAAATGGAATGGCATAGGGGGAGGGGCGGAGATTTTTTTGGAAACTCTTGCTTTGAAGTAATGAAAAAAGGAAAATGTGGATAACTTTTAAGCAAGGAAGAACATGGTAAGAGCATTGCTGAAAACTACTTTTTAGATGTAGAGGATTAGAAGGGAACGGGGAGTAAGCTAAGTGTCTTCAATACCAATCCAACACAGCATCCAGCCTTTTGTTGGTGCACGTGAATGGACATGACATCTTTAGGGAAAACAACACAACTCTATGTAGTGTAGCCATTTACCACCCTAACAAAGTCTGTTTCATTGCAACCTGATAGGCGAGCACTTGGGACAAATGAAACCTCAAGATTATTTTTCACCTAGTTCTCAAAAAGAGACATACACACACAGACTCATCCCTTTGAGTGCTGGGATACATAAAAAATAGGGCACCTCTTAAACATAGCACTAATTCTTTTGGCAGTTCAGAACCATTGGGGCTAAGCTGTAGCCTGAGGTCTCAGGTGTCAGAGAAATCTACTCTGCCCTCCTAAGATATTCAAGGTCAAGACATCTTTCTGCAGCCGCTTCAAACTTTTCCTTGTCCTATCCTGGTTTTGTCCTGGGGGAATTACCAAAGAAGTCAGAGTGCACTTCTTGGTTACAGGAATGCAATGACTGTCATATAATGTGGAGGTTTACCTTAGCCACTGGACTAACATGAGAAACCTATTCATAAAGCATGGCTTCTGGACAGGAAACAACACAGGCAAGAGGCACACACCATGTTTTATTTTTGCAAAATGTAGAGTTAAGAAAAAATGTTTTGGAAAGTTAGGTAATTTCCCCCAGTTTTTATGATTACATATAGCTTACTATTCATTCCCCACGTCTCCTTGAAGATAAAGGATTACTTGACACAGCTGTGCAACTAAGGTTTATAGAATTACCATAGTAATACTTATAGAATTAACATAGCACCTGACAGATATTTTAAAAATACATGTTAATTAGACTCATACCACTTGTGCACGAAAAGTAAATGTTTCTGTATTTCTTCTGTTTGTCCATGCATCAGGGTTATAGAGATGGCCTTAATTAAAAAGAAGCCAATCAATCCACCTTTACCATGCACCTGAGGCCACAAAACACTTTTGAAGGAGGTGGAGAAGGAACATCAAAGGTATCAAATACTGACTGGGAACAGCAGTTTAAAATAATGATTGGAATATTTGGACTAGATTTTTTAAAAGAGGAGTTGAAATTTATTCTCCAAGCACTGTGCACCACTAGGTATGCTGTGTATGCCCCTAGATTTGCAGATGACATCCTCCTTCAGGAAGACAGATGAAGATGAAATGCATCACTCATCAACATTATAGAGAAATTATAGTGGTTATATACTATATATATATATTATATATTATAGAGTATTATAGTGGTTTTATATATTTTTGCTACTAAAGACTCCTTTTACCTGCTCATTTTGAAATTTTATTAATAATTTATTTCATCTACTTTAAATTTAATTTTCTTTCAAAATTGTTCCATATGTTAATTCCCAGAAGGAATCAGCTAGGCTTTAAACAAAATCCCACAAACTCTTCCCAAGTTTGTGTTTCCTTCTCCCACTTTCCCCAGCTGGTCCTTCAAACTTTTATTACTGACAAGGCCCCTAATTCTACCCCAACCATGTCTATTCCTCTTCCTTCCCTCTCAAACCATGAATTTAATTATTTTTTTTAAATGGGTCATCTCAAGTTAATTCAATTTCCCCCTCCCCCAACCAGACACTAAATCTGTCCTCCTTCCTTTTCTGGTAAATTGGAGGAAGGTCCCCAAAGAAAACCCTTCCATTGTTGCTAAAATTCATTTTATACTATCCAGTAACTTAATCAATTTTCCTCCTGCTCTTCTTTTTCTTCAGCCTCTCCCTCAACTGGCTATCTTTTTCAAACAGAAAAATATACTCAAATTTTTCTTTAATCTCCACTTACAGCCCTCTTTATATTCACAGACAAGTAATCTACTTTTATTCTCTGACTTTATAGACTAGTAAAATTAAGTGGGTAAAAAAATAATCATCCAAGGGTTGCCTTTAAAAAAAAAAAAAAAAAACTAAGACACACACCTAATAGACTATGCTCCCAAATCACTATTATTAATATTTCATGAAAGATTTTTTTAAAAGTCCTATTTATTTAAAAAAGGGCATAGTTTCAGAATAAAGTAAGGTCTTGATCTTGAATCAATTTAGCCTTTTTTTTTAAACAAAGACATCATATTGCCCTTATTTTTACCATTTGAATGTACTTAAAATTCCTGTCATGAATTGACAGTAATTGGGAGCTGATGATCTACTCTCCAGACACTATTTAACCTTCTGAAAACTGGCTCTTCCCAACTTCAGAAGCTGCTCCTATAGCATCTCATTAATGGCTTTTTTTTTTTTTTTTTAAGTGATGGGGTCTTGCTATGTACTCAGATCAGTCTTGAACTTTTGGGCTCAAGCGATACTCCTGCCTCAGCCTCCCAAACTGCAGGGATGATAGGCATGAGCCACCATGCCCAGCCAATGGCTAATTATCAAATTCAAAGGACACTCTTCAGCCCTTCCTTGACCTCTCTGCAGTGCTCTTCCAGGTCACTTTCCTATAGCAGTTATCACTCCATGTTGGGTTTTCTGTACTTTTGGCTGTTTCTTCTTTCTCTCCTTTGCCTCTTGCTCACATGCTAAGCAAAAGCAGCCTAGAATTAGGATTCCATCTCTAGACTTCTTTTCTTGCTTTATTCTTTCTTTAAAGCTGATTCATTTTGTGTCTAAACACTGGCTAAGTCAATTTCTAGTCTAGATTTCTCCCCTAAGTACCATGTCCATACCTCCAATTGCCTCTGGATATCTGTCTCACACAAGATAAAACATGTTCAAAATTTTAATAATCTTATTCCATACCAGGCATACTCTTTTTTTTTTTTATCTCTGAATAAGAGCACCAACCACCCAAAACCCACTTTGAATCTTTACTGTTCCTTACCTTTGTCACTCAATTAGCAACCAAGTCTCACTTTGTTTATAAATAATTCTCAAATCTATCTTTTTTTCACATTCCCACTACCTTAGTTGAGGCACCATAATTTCTGAACTATACTACTATAAAGACCTCTTGAGGTTAACATAGAAACAAGTCCTTGACATAATATTCTGCATGTGCAAATTTCTGAGAATAAGATCCATAGACCTAAAACAAGTCAAGAGCCATGGTCTCAAATCCTTTCCTTTCAATTCACCTTCACATTGCCTCTTGAGTTAAAATGGAGGATCACACGATGTATTGTGTGTGGTATTTGGAATGGTGCACAAGTGGAGTATTTGGGGTACCAGTGACATTGTTTCTTAAGCTGCATGATGGTTATATAGGTGTTTAGTAGTGAAAACTCAAGAGCTGTACACTTCAAATATGTGCCCTTTTAATATATACAGCACATTTAAATACAAAAGAAATAACACAAAATTTTAGGCAGAAGAATAAAATCTCCTTAGTATGACAACTGTCATGATATGCCCTTACTTAAGGGCAGCCTTACCTCCTGTCACATTCTGAGTCACCAAGCAACCAGCAGTTCGCCCTGTAGATTCTCTCACAACTCATCATTTTCAGACACAATTCAACTTCTCTAGCACTCGTCTTTTAGTCTTATCTTGAGCATCACCTCCTCTTGAGAGATTAACTTTTTCCTTCCCTCCTCTTCTAGGCACTTCATTTTCCTATTTTTATTTATTTATTTTACTTTTTATTTTTAGTATAGACAGGGTCTTGCTCTTGCTCAGGCTGGTCTTCAACTCTCAATCTCAAGTGATCCTCCTGCCTTGGCTTCCCAGAGAGCTAGGATTACAGCTGTGAGCCACCACATCCAGCCCATTTTCCTCTCTAAAGCCCTCTGCATATTTCTGTCATTATCTTGGGAAACAGAAGTGAATTGCTCGAAAAATAAAAAAACACTTTTTGAGTATCTATGTTTTTCATAAGCAACGATTTGTACATACAGTGAGCAACTAACCACTGCTACTGGATTTTTGAGTTGTCACTCTAAATTCACATCCAAAGATGTTAAAAGTTACGTAGGAATATCTCATACAACCATGGCCTCAAAGTACTATGAGACCAACAATAGCCAGGGTTTCTGCTAAACAAGGTAACCATAATGAAAGTGATGTAATTCCAGCAAAAGGCAAATAAACACCTTAGTGTGCATGCAGCAAAAACATATACTGCAGGTTTTTAAAATAACGAACACAGGTCTAAGAGCCTCAGGATTAATTAGGACCCTGGTCTGGGAACCACTGGTAGAGAATAAATAAAACTGGGAAGACCCAGGGCAGGAGGATAATTTTATTGAGGAATCAGATGCCGTTTGTTATTTTGTGTACTTTTAATTGGCTACAAGCTCTGTTTTGAAATGTTAACCGTATAGTAACTGTGAGTACTTAATTTGAATAAGGGAGTGCACATAGATAGGTATCTTTCTGTACAGGTACCATAACCTCCACATTTACATTCAGGCACACACACAAAGAGATGGGAAGATGAATGTTTGGAGGTGATTTTTAGAATAGCTGGGGTACAGGAGAAAAGGTCGTTTGCCCAAACTATTAGGAAGTTAGAATTGCAGAGTTCTGGTGATTTGGAATTCTATACTCAAGACACTAAAGAACCTTGACTTAATTGAAATATTCCAGGAAAAGATAACTAGTCAGAAAAAGTTAACTACGCAGAACAAATGAGAGCAATTTCCTTCAAATCCTTGGTTCTAATTTTAAAAACACAGTAACATATTTGACAGGATTGATTTTATACTTAAGTAACAAAGAACTCTTACACAAAGCAAGAAACAAAACAAAACAAAATAATTTTAATGATTAAAACAGATGAATTAATAGATTTATAGTAACCATTAACTAAGGGAGGCCCTAGAACCAGAAATAAGGATTTTAAAATTGCATGCAAAATCTAGTTACCGTAAAAAAACAAAACAAAACAATGCAATACCAAAATATCTCAGATTCCTAGCATAGACTCCAGGTCCTTTTATTTCCAATTCTTGGTAATAAAAATATATACATTTCACATGCTCCTGGTTGTGAAGGGATAAGATTATTCATACAGGGTTATAAATATCTTTTACAGATATGGGAGGGCACAAAAGAACAATATCTTCCTCCACCTTTTTGGGCCCATCTAGGGGATGGGGGAGAAGGCACTCCCAAAGGTTCCTTGGTAACACTTTTGCTGGGTTTGTCAATCACTCACGTAATCTTTATATGTAAAGTTAATGGTCCACTCATTTCATAGATCTGGGCACTACCAGGCATTGGAACTGCCTTTCTTTAAGTCAATGCCAAACAACTAGCTTTCTTAAACCATGACAAAATCTTGTATACTAGTTTCAAAAACATCTGGGCTTTGTTACCTTGACAACTTACATATGCTTAATCACTGGACTTTGGCATGCATAGCCAAACATATCATGGAACTGAAAGGACCATGGCGCTGGTGACAAAAGACTCCTGGAATCATTATTCTCAGTTTTCTAACATTAGCTCCCTTATATTAATTCAACTTTGTCTTTCAGAGCACCTCCCATGTGCTCTGAACCTGGGTTTAACCTCTGCTGAAAGATTTATTAAAGAAAGATGCTTAGATAAAGTACCAAGTCTTTATGATCATCAAAACAAAGAGCAATGGAAGTCAATTGACCATGGGCAATTGTCCATTATTCACAGAATCTGTAGAAACCATTTGCCTGAGGCCAAGGAAAATCTGCTTTATTTATCACTAAATCTGACCCATGTTGAGCCATAATAAAACTGCACTTGGGTAGTCTCAAATAAAATGTTTGAGCTCACATATTTCTCTACATTTACTGCATCCATGCAGTGTGCAATTTCTGATGCTGAATGAGAGAAATGCGGCAATTGAAGGCTTCACCACAAGCATCACATTCATGGGTTTCTTGGATTTTCACCTCTGCATGGATCTTCTGATGGTTGACAAGACTGCGCTGTTGACTGAAACTTTTGTCGCACTTCTCACACTTGTAAGGTTTCTCTCCTGTGTGTATTCTCTGATGCTGAATAAGACCTGAGTTTCGGCTAAAGGCCTTCCCACATTCATCACATTTATGGGGTTTATTACCTGTGTGAACACCCTGATGTCGAATGAGATTACAAAGCTGACTGAAGCTTTTGCCACACTGTCTGCACAGATAGGGTCTCTCACCAGTGTGGATTCTCTGATGTTCAATAAGAAATGAGCTCCGACTGAAGCTTTTTCCACAAACAGTACATAAGTAGGGCTTCTCACCAGTGTGGATTCTTTGATGCTGTACAAGATGAGCACTAACACTAAAAGTTTTCCCACATTCATCACATTTATAAGATTTTTCCTTAGGGTAGACCTCCTGTTGTATAACAAGACTGCAATTTGGATCAAAACTTTCCTTAGTTTCATTGTATGGGTAAATCTTCTCCCTCGTGTGGATTCTCTGATGCTGAATAAGACCTGAGCTTCTACTAAAGGCTTTTCCACATTCCTCACATTTATGGGGTTTGTCTCCTGTGTGAATTCTCTGATGACGAGTAAGGTTGCAAAGCTGACTGAAACTTTTCCCACACTCTTTGCACTGATAAGGTCTTTCGCCAGTGTGGATCCTCTGATGTTCAATAAGGAATGAGCTCCGACTAAAGCTTTTTCCACATTCAATACAAAGAAAAGGCTTCTCACCAGTGTGGATTTTTTGGTGTTGTATTAGGTATGTACTTAATCTAAAGGCTTTCCCACATTCACCACATTTATGGGGTCTTTCCCCAGTATGAATTCTTTGATGCTCAACAAGCAATGAATTTCGACTAAAGCTTTTTTTACATTTGGTACAGTGATAGGGTTTCTCACCAGTGTGAGTTCTCTGATGCTCAATAAGGTGTGACTTCCAACTGAAGGCTTTCCCACAGTCACTACATTTATGGGGTTTCTCACCTGTATGAATCCTTTGATGTTTAACAAGGCTCCTTCTCTGGCTGAAGCTCTGTTTACACTGATTACACTGATAGGGTCTTTCTCCAGTGTGGATTCTCTGATGTCTAATAAGGGTTGAGCTCACACTAAAGGTTTTTCCACAGTAATTACACTCATAGGGCCTTTCCCCAGTGTGAATTCTCTGATGTTCAATAACGAATGAACTGCGACTAAAACTTTTCCCACATTCATTGCATTGAAAAGGTTTCTCACCAGTATGGACCCTTTGATGTTGAATGAAATGGGCCTTGCGGACAAAACCCTTTCCACATTCTTCACATTTATGGCATTTCTCTTCTGAGTTTGGTCTCTTACGAATGTTAGTGTTTCCTTTGAACATTCTCTGTTCCTGGGTCAAAGATTCCCTTGGTATTTCCCATAAGAAGATCCCTCTCTGTTTATCTAACCTACCAACAAGTTCAAAGGTTTCTCTACCCATGGGATCCTGGTCAATTTCACTTTTGATTCTTGTAACTATTACACCCTGTGGTTCCACTTCTTCCTCAATTTCTTCAATTTCTTGTTTCACAGTTGGCTCTTCATCCTTATCTCTGTTCAAAACATCTGGAACAATAAACAGAAAATATAAACATTAGCCAAGCTCTTTGAGGGTAAGGAGAAACAAGAAACAGTAAAAAAAATAAGGTAATCAAGATAAATTAATTTACTATATCTATAAAATATAGTTCACTACCTCACAGTATTGTTGTGAGGATTCGATTAGTCCATATACAAAACATTTAGAGTAGCATCTGGTAAAGAGTACAAGGTACATATTTATGCAATGAAATGGTTTTCTTGGAGAAGAGTATGATAAAAATATTCAAATATTCAGTAGGCAAAGAACAAGACAAGCAAGTAGAGTTGGGAGGAAGGGCTACCAAATAAACACTGAATTATACAAGGTAAGATGGGCAAAGAAATAAAACAAGTAAAGGTGGGATTAACCAGTCTATCAAGGAAGAAAGGGTAAGAAGAGAAGAAAATAGTAAGTTCAGGAAAACTTAGAATGAGAAAGAATTATTGGACTGTGAACAGACCAAATAATTAACAGAAAGAAACACACAAAAACATGCTAAGAAGAATAAACAACAAAGAATCAGTGGAAGCACTAATAAGAATTTATTTGCTGCCCATTAAAAACATTCTAGCCACTGTGTAATTAGCCAGGATTCAGAGATAAGACATGAAGCCCTCTACCAAATGGAATAATGAATAAAAATGGAGAAAGAAAATACTATGATAAAGAAAATATTAAAAGTAGCTACTATATGGAGACAAAATAGCTTTTTTAAAACAAAAAAAAAAAAACAAAACAGAGTTGAAATGACATGGAATCTAGGACATTAAGAGACAGAATAAAATAAGTACAAAGGAACATAGAATTAATGGAAAAAATGAAGAAACAGAGCAGTTGGTGGTAGCTTATAACTTCACCTACCACAAGGCATACCACAAGTACAAATGATTCTCAACCATCTACAGATGTAAGACCCAAGGTTTACCATCTGTTCCAACTGAGAGCCAGCATGATACCTGAGAAATGAAATCTTACATGTGTTGAGGAAAAGATGACATTAATGGTCTATGTTATAACAGAGTGGCATATAGGACACTTAAGCCTGCTTCTGATTTCTTTCCTGATTTTCCGTCTCCTGTTGCCTATTCAGTAATATCACCAGAAGATTCAATCATTTCTCTTCTGAGTTTGGTCTCTTACAGATATTAGTGTTTCCTCTGAACATTCTCTGTTCCTGGGCCAAAGATTCCCTTGGTATTTCACATAAGAAGATCACTCTCTGTTTATCTAACCTACCAACAAGTTCAAAGTTCATTTATATTTGGCTCTAAAAAAGTTTCTTTTTAATACATCCTCCTTTCTCTCAATTTTCTGATCTTCTAACTGTGGAGTCATCTTTAAATTTTCTATCCACTTACTTCAAACCAGTCATTAAATTACTTTATTCCAAATAAAATTCTTGTCTTACTCCTCTAAGAAAGTGCTAGAGGCCGAGCACGGTGGCTCACGCCTGTAATCCTAGCACTCTGGGAGGCTGAGGCGGGCGGATTGCTTGAGTTCAGCAGTTCAAAACCAGCCTGAACAAGAGTGAGACCCCATCTCTACTAAAAATAGAAACAAATTAATTGGCCAACTAAAAATATATAGAAAAATTTAGCTGAGCATGGTGGTGCATGCCTGTAGTTCCAGCTAGTTGGGAAGCTGAGGCAGAAGGATTGCTTGAGCCCAGGAGTCAGAGGTTGCTATGAGCTAGGCTGATGCCACGGCACTCTAGTTGGGACAAAGAAGTGAGACTCTGTCTCAAAAAAAAAAAAAAAAAAAAAAGAAACTGCTAGGAGCTTGGTTTCTTCCTTGGCTACTTACACAGCATCCCCTCTAAAATTTGCTTTAAGTGGATTGTGCTTTCTTTACACAATAAAAAAGGATGAAAGAATTCCCTCAACTTTCCACCCCCCATCTATAGAAGTATATGTCAATGATACATAAAGATATATTTCATTCTTATCCAAAGCTAATTCATCCACCCCTTTTTGATCCTGCTCACCTCTGGGCAGTTGTTTAATCATTACCATTCTATCTTCAGTCTATACTCTCCATTGACACATTCCTACTATCACATAAAAACATTCAACTTTATCTTGAATCTGACATCCCTTTGTTGATAAAAGTCAAGTTTTAGGATAAAAAAAAGTCTTAGCATTGTAGCTTTCTATTGCCTATATTTTCTATGCCCAACCCTTTCCCATTCAATCGACCCCACAACCTATTGTGAAATGTAGTTTCTGTTTCTGCCATCTAGAGAAACTTCTCATTAAATTACCAGTGACTTTCAAAGAAAATATAAAAATGGTAATTTCTCAGTCCTTGTTTTATTCAGCAACATTTGACAGTGTTAACCTCCTCCATTTCTTGACATTATCTGTTTTTGGTTTCTATGCTATTACATTCTTTTAGTTCACTACCTACTTCTTTGGCTTTTCTAATAAATTTCCCTCATTTATTTATTTTTCTTTGTCAACTGTTTTACATTATTGTTACCCAGATTTACATCCTTACTTACTTTATGTATACATCCTCTGGATATCTCCACTTAGATGGTTCACAAAGAGCTCACAATTAACATGATCATCATCTGTTCTCATGTCTCTCACCACCTCTAATCATCTCTTGAGAGGGATCTCCATCAATTACCCTAAAGTCCCAAAGGAGGAAATCATCCTAGATTTCTCCCTTTTTCTTACTGTTAATCAATCACCCAAATCACAGATTCTTCTTTAGCATTTACCTTCTCTCTTTAACCCTTATAATCATGTAGCCATCTAATAATCCTTGACTCTGTTCTTAAAGCTGCCCTCATATTACATGTGCCTTACTGATTCCAGAAGAGATCTTTATAAAATGGAATTCTATTCATGTCATCACTTGTAGATTACACCTGTAGATTCAGCAGCACTGCATCACCTTTAAAATCAAATCAACGCTCTTTACTATGTCTTTACTCTTCATGACATGTTCTGTAAGCCTCAACTCACTTTCCTACCTACTTTATCATACTTTATGTGGACAAATTACTTGCTTTATGGTCTTTCATGACTTAGTTTTGCATATACTGTTTACCAAATGTCCCTCAACACTGTTTACCTAGCAAACTTGGTTTTTCTTTAAGATTCAGTTCAAAGCAACAGTTTCTCTACAAAGCATTCACCAAGTCTACCAGACAGATTGAGGTGTTCTATTTTTTATTACTAGCCCTTGTCCATAACACTATTATAGCTATTATTACACCATACTTTTTAACAGTTTATAACGTGTTTGTCTCTTTCATTTGATTATAAACTTGTAAGAAGGGAAAATCTATTCATAATGTTATTATTATTCTGTGGATATTGTTCTGGGGTTTTACTGAATAGAAATGAGAAAAAATTACTTGAAGAGGATACAAATGTCTACCTAAAATTCCTCAAAGATTTTTATATATAATAGCTACAAGCTTAAAAAACTGGTTTTTTTACAATGAAAAAAACTCAGTAAATATTATAGAAAAATGAAATATGTTTTTTACAATAGTAACAAAATACGTAAAGCCTAGGAATAAACAGAACAAGAAATATGTGAGGTCCATAAAAATAATTCATAAAAAGACAAAAGGACAACTCCGCAGAGTCAACCAAATGGCTAAAGATATCCAATATTATAAAGACCTCAATTCCTTCCCAAACTAATTTATGAAACTAATCACATTCCAATCAAAAAATCATATGAACCAATAAAAAATCCCAATGAATCTAAATTTTAATTTGAAGAATGTAGATAACCAGTTAAGTATATTCTGAAAAAGAATATTAAAGAATGACTTATCTTACCAGACATAAAATGTAGTATGTTGTTAAAGTAAATAAAACAATGTTACTGGCATAAAAATAGATAGGACAGTAAGATAGGCAGATGAAGAAAATGAGTGTGGGCTCCACAAAGAGCACCCGTGAAAAGACTATTCACTGGGCTTGGCAATGCTTAATGATACCATCTCATCCTGTGGTCATAGCTAATTTGTCTAGAGTAGATAGATGATTGAAAGTGGATCTCTCCCAAGAATTTGGAATAGAAACTGATATAGCTCTTTAATCAGAATGTGGCTAGAATTGTAACTTATAAAATCAGAAGCTAAAAGGCAGAAGCATGTGAATATAAGAAGGACTAGTCTGCCAAGAGGAAAGAGAGATCAAAAAAAGAAACATTATAGACTGAATGTTTGTGTCTGCCCCTCAAATTCATATATTGAAGCCCCAACCCTGAATGTAACGGTATGTGAAGATGGGGCATTTGGGAAGTAATTAGATTTAGATGAGGTCATGAGAGTGGGGCCCCCATGATGTGATTAGTGTTCCTGTAGAAGAAGAATAAAGACAAGAACATGCTCTTTCTCTCCCTCTATCAAGTGAGGATATAGTGAGAAACCAGGAGAAGGGCCTCATCAGGAAATGAGTCTGCCAGCACCTTGATATTAGATTTCCCAGCCACCAGAAATGTGAGAGATAAATGTCTGTTTAAGTCACTCAGTCAATGGTATTTTGTTATAGCAGCCTATGATAAGATGAAGAGTAATTCCTAACTTTCTGAGAGTGATTCAATTTCTGGTGTCAGTCCTTTTCTATGTCTACCTGTAATTATGTTCATATATTCTAGAAGACATCTCTATAATAACTTCCCTTGTTGGCTTAAGCTAGTTTGAGGAGTTGATTTCTACAATCTTTAATCAGGTTTGAAACATGGTAGCTGGAAGGAGAGAGAGAAGGCAAGGCAATAGTAAAATGAAGTAAATGAAATTTAGGATAAGACTTGCCATGCTTTTTTTTTTGTAAAGAGACAGACAATAAATATTTTTGCCTTTGTGAGCCATATGGTCTCTGTTGCAACTACTCAATTTGGCCATTATATCATAAAAATAATCATAGACAATACACAAAGGAATGGGTATGTCCATGTTTCAATAAAACTTTACTTAAAAAAACAGGCAGTGGGCCAGATTTGGCTTGTGAACCATAGCTGTTAATCTCTCTGTCCAACAGAGTATTAAATGAACAGTTTTCTTGGTTAATAGAATGGGAACATGGAGAAGAAATAGAATTTCAAGTGCCTAGCACAGTGTTTGATAATTATTTATTGAATGATAAATAACTGAACAAATAATTGAAGAGGGACTATAATCAAAGAAAAAAATGAGTTCAACATCTTGTTGGTACAGAAGTTCCAGCTCTGTCAAGGTTCAATGAGGTTCAAGTAGACTGAAAAGAGTCATTAAAAATGAAGAGGTCAAAGAACTGAGAGATCAAGCTATTAGATGTATCATCAATGTAGTCATTCAAGTTTTTTTAAGGTATGAATGAAGAGTCAAAATTAAAAACCTAGAAAAGAATTGTGTTATGAAAAGCAGTAAGATGAAGTACAATGAACTACACTGAAACAGCAGAGTAATAGCCATCTCTCATTAAGTGAGCTCTCATCAAAAGGATGGAGATAGGGTCCACTGAGGAGGATGAAAAGACTATGGGAGGAGAAATAATAAATGATAGAAAGTTGTATTTAAGTTGAAATAAAGAAGAGAGCCTAAAAGTACAAGATCACAGATGGGCTCCCCGCCACGCCTTTGTCCATATGGTATACACATGCTGCAGTACTATGGGCAAGCAGGGCTGGGTACTTGCCTGGTTTTATCAACCAGAATACCATACGTATGGGTAAGCTGGCAGTGACTCAGAGACATCATGGCATACTTCAAAAAAAATCAGCAGTTGATATGGCTGAAGATTGAGTGGCATGTAGGCAATAACAGCTGAGGCAAGAAAGCTAGGCAAAGTCTACATTTGGGAGGTCTTAGTATGATAGCATAGGATAAGAAATTAAGATTTTTATTCTTTCAGCTATCAAGAACCATCAGAAGGTTTTTTGTTGTTGTTGTTGTTTGTTTTAGATAGGGTCTCACTCTGTCAGGCTGGAGTACAGTGACTCAAACATAGCTCACCTAGCCTTAACCATTCCTCTTGCCTCAGCCTCCTAAGTAGCTAGGCTATAGTTACTAAAGCTGGCTAATTTACTTTTTGTAGAGACAGGGTCTTGCTATGTTACCCAGGTTGGTTTCGAATTTCTGCCCTCAAGCCATCCTCCTACTTTGGCCTCTCAAAGCACTGGGATTATACTCATAAGCCATCGCATCTGGCCAGGAACCATCAGAAGTTCTAAGTGGTTAACTAACACAAAATCACTTTGGCAGCAATAGACAGAACATATTAAAAGAAAGGGAGACTAGGTACTCATGCAATAGTCCAGTTAAGAGATACTGAATCTTAAATCAGCTGATTTATTTAGTCACACAAGTATTTAAGAAGCATATAATATAGGCCTGGCTCTGTTTTAAGTGCCAGAGAAATCAAATAAAAAAATATATTTACTGTCCTCATGGTGATCAGTGAAATTAAGAGAAATAACATATAAAAATGATTATAGTATAGTATGGTAAATTCAGTAACTAAAGAATACACAAGGTAGCACAGAGAATATAGTGATTCACTCTGAAGAGAAGGCCCTTGAAATCATAATGGACTGAGACTTGCCAGGTTTGAGTTACTTACGTGGCCTTCAAAGGAATATGACTAGGGATTTGGAGTTCAACAGAGAAAACGATGATGACAATATCAATAAACACTTATGTTGTACTTACTACATGCTAGTCAGTGTCCTAAGTGCTTTATAAATATTAACTCAGTTAATGCTCACAATAATCCTAAGAGATGTTTTATTTCCATTTTATAAAAAAAGAAACCAAGGCCCAGAGAAGTTAAGGGTGTCACTCACAGTCACAAGGCTAAACAAGTGGTGGAAGCAGCATTTGAACCTAGGCAGTTAGGCTCCACATTACCTTTCTTAGGTGGCAATGAAGATTTGAGATTTATCATCACATAGAGGTAGCTGATGAAGTAAGTTAAAGTCCCCTAAGGAAAATATAGTCTGAGAATGCAAGCCAATGGAGAGAAGCAATAAAAAATTTCAGATATTCATAAAGAAGTGGAATAAAATAAGGCCCAAAAAGAGTCTACTGCATTTGATAATGAGGATATTATAGACCACTGTTAAACAATTTAAGGGCAGTGTTACAGGCAAGACAAAGGGGCTTAGAGATAAGGGGAGGTAAAGAAATACAGAAGTAAACTACTCTTAAAAAACTTGACTGTTGGCCGGGCACGGTAGCTCACACCTGTAATCCGAGCACACTGGAAGGCCGAGGCAGGCGGATCGCTTGAGATCAGGAGTTCAAGACCAGCCTGAGCAAGAGCGAGACCCCCGTCTCTACTAAAAATAGAAAGAAATTAATTGGCCAACTAAAAATATATAGAAAAAATTAGCTGGACATGGTGGCGCATGGTACCTTCTGAGGCAAGATTGCTTGAGCCCAGGAGTTTGAGGGTGCTGTGAGCTACGCTGATGCCACAGCACTCTATCCCGGGCAACAGAGTGAGACTCTGCCTCAGAGGGTAGCAAGTTATAGGGAGAAGCAAGAGAAAGACTCTGGTTCCTAGGAGGGGTTTTTTTTCCCCTCCTGTTTTCCCCAGCTGGAAGAGCCGTGAACATACCAAGCATCAGCATAAAGGTACCAAGGGAGAATAAATAAGATTGAAGCTATAAGAGGGGGAAAAAGATGATTGATGATAAGTTTCTGAAAAGTAAGATGATGGGAGCAGAGTTAAGATGAGGGGTAGAGAAGTTGAGAGTTCATACTTAGCAGCCTTTATTTTCTCTGTGAAAAAGAGGGTAAGGTCTACTACTGAGTGAGGGACCTAAGGAAAACTCCTTAAGTTTTATGGAATAGTCACTAATTAGAACAGGGGAGTGAGCATATCAAGGACCAAAAAAAAAAAAAAAATTGATGAGATATAAAACCCAAGTGGAGACTAGAAGGAAAATAGCCATGCATATAGATAGGACATCAATTCTTTTAGTTAGAGATTTCTCCTGCTATGTTTAGCAACTCAGGTAGGAGAGAAGAAAAGGTAAATTTTATAACAAATACAAGATTTGAAGTTTGCAGAATTGGTAGAACACAATGACAAGGTGGCAAGACAGAATGCTGGTGATTAGATGGGGAGGTGAAGTTGGGAGAGGACTGATACCCTGGGGAAAAAAAACAAAGATGTCAAGGGACAGGAAACATCATTAAGAATGAATAGGTTTGGGTGGAAAGGAGCAGGAAAGATAGAAAGATAAGAAACTGTAGTAAGCTCCACAAGGACAGAAATCACATTAGTTTTGTTTACCTTCATTTAGTTTAGTTACAGTCAATAAACACTTATTGCCTGAATAGCTAGTCAGAGAATAGGGTATTCAGGTTTAAGATTTTCCTGTTATGACAAAATTGAGGGCATATAAGTTGCTGAAAAATAATGGAAAGCAAGGTCCCTCAAGTCAATATGGTCGAGATCTAAGACTCAAGTATTGACTGGGTCATCAATGACATGAGTTAAGGTAAAGGATACTCCAAAACATGTGACAAAGTTATATGTGAGGAATCAAAAAAAAGTTGACAGATGATAGTGAAAAAGAATTGAGTGGATACAGCAAGACAGCTGAGGCCTCAAAGGAGGAGAGGTCTTATTTGAAGGTGGAAACCTAATGCTTTGGGAACAGCATTGAAAAGCTGAAAGAACAATAACTTCTTCCTGCCAGCTTTGAGACAAAGGATGGAGAAAGAGGAGGATGTGGGAGAATAAGCAGCCCCCACTTGAAGGACTGCCAGAGAAGTGGTGTCCTTGGGAAAGTGCCAGGTTTCACTTAAGGCCAGGAGGGGTAAGGAACATTATGTGAAGAGGAACAGGGGCTCCAGAAGGCAGAGTGAAAAGAGGTGGGAGGAAAGCAGTGGGAGGATGAGCCAGGAGGGAAAGTACAGAGCAATATGGGAATGAGATTATGAAGACAGGAAGCCAGAAAGGCTTGCATTTTAGTAACTGCAAGGAAGTTAGGGATGACAGTCATGAAAACAATTAATGGCTGAAAAGTCTTAATCAGAACTTTGGAATAAAGCAGTTTTGGTACTGGTTTAATCCAAGTGTTCTGAGTCTGATGTCTAGTACCTTCTTAGTTAATTAGAGAAACAGCAGATTCTTACCCAGTGAGACCAGGTTTCCATAATTCTCCATCATGACATCTTTATACAGGCTTCTCTGAGCTGGGTCCAGATAATCCCACTCCTCCTGGGTAAAAAACACAGCCACATCCTCAAATGTCAGCAACCCCTGAAATAGTATGATTTCTGTAGTCAGTTCCTGTTGTCTCAAGGACAATTTTCCACTCAAAGTGGCAGAAGCAATCACTTATCAGGGCCAAGTAGGCTAGAAGGAACATGGTAATGAAGAGTTCCACATGGTGTCCAATTCTGGGAAACCGACTATCATTGACAAGCACCTCAGATTCGAGGATAACTGGAGTTAATCCTTGTCCTCCATAGTGAAGGACCTAAGGACAGGGTTTTTCTGGTTTAATAATTATACCCTAACATCTTAATTGCTCCAAGGCCTCTCCAAGCTTCCCTCACCTTATTGCTCTCCGCTCCAATTCTCCATTCCCGCTGGCCTGTGACCCTATTCAATTCCTTGAGATTCTGTAAGCATACACCTTGGGTCCAGGCATAGTGCCAGGCGCAGAAGACACGGGAAAGTAAAACATGGTGCCTTACCTGGAGGAACTCACTAATGAGACAGTTAGCTTGGAGCATTACTAATTTTCTCCAGCCGATTTATCAAATCTCTCTTGGAAAAGAAGGAGCCACTGGGCAGTTCGTTTGAGAACCGAACCCCACAAAACTAGGGGTGCAGGGATTTCTTGCACGATGCAGGCCCTAAAGAAAGCAGTCATGAAGCGTGCGAGGTATGGTGGGAAACTGTGATGCGGCCTATCTAGGGCAGTGGCGAGGCAACGGGGATCCCCACGGGAGCTTGCTTACCTTTGGCTCCAGCGGGGGGCTCGGGGAAGCCATCTCCAGGCCAGAGAACGGGGGTTCCTGCCGTATGGAAAGGAGCCTGTGGTGAGGCCTACCCGGCTGCTGGAAATTAGGCCCCAAGAAGAGAAGGCTTCCTGGGTGAGTCTGGCCAGCGACTGCCACGGTCCCCAGCCGATCACGACCTCAGCAGCATATCAGACACGCTCCCTGGCTGGCATCCAATCTCGAACCCCAAAACCCCAACCTCCTCCCTTGCCTGGTTGCGCAGCCTTTCAGGCCTCACTAGAGCCTCCTCCCCACTGCCAGTCCCTCCTCCTTTCAGCCAAGCAGCGCTATGACCGCCCGCCCCCGGACCAGAAGGCGTCACCCGGATCTTTCTTGGGACGCCCCCAAACTACAACTCCCGTCATGCTCCGAGAGAGGGTCGTGGTCCAGCCTCCATCGGCAATGGCCACCGGACTACATTTCCCGGCGTGCAAAGGGAGAGAGGCGGGAACACCTGCCACTAAACTTGTATCCTATTGGTTAGTCTGGGCGCGACCCTGTCGGCTGAGGGTTGAGCACAGGCCGGCGGCTTCCATCGAAAATGGCGGCGCTGCCTGTGTCCCGCATTACCAGAAGAGGCTTCTTGTGGATAGTCTCAGGGGCGCCACGCAGAGAATTTTGGTCTCGATCCAGGTAAAGCTGAAGATTGGACGGTGGGTTTCGTTCACGGGACGTAAGGAGAGAAACTGAGGAGGATGAAGGACCAGTTCAGAAGGCAGTGCCATAGTATTAAGACGGGACCATGGTCCAGCGACTGATTAGGGAAAGGACAAGAAAGTCCATTAGGGTCCCGAGTTCAGAAGTTTCAGTGCCAGGCTCCGTGAGCAAGGGGCCGGTCACTTACTCGTTTGTCCTCAGTTGTCTCATCTTACATCGGAAATACTGCCCCCTTTGCCTTCCACCTCGCGCATTCATTTATTAAGCAAACTATCGACCACGTGTGCGAGGCACCTAGTGTGTTAGGAAACAAATGACTCGTTTTTAACTTAGAATCTGACACTAACTTAGAATCTGAACGTGAAAGCGCTATATTCTGGGTGTTGTAAGAATACAGTAGTTACTAAGATCAAATTTTTGTTCTCATAGGGCATGTGTTCTAATGGAGGGAGGAATGAACAAATGCTAATGTAACTACAGGAAGTGGTAAATTATGAAGAAAGCTAGTGAAAGTAAGAGATTACTGAGAAGGAAGGAATGAATTGCATTTCTTATTTTTTCAAAGTTGTATGTATACTTCAGGTATAAAACTTGATATTTTAATATACATAGTGAACTGATTACAGCAGTCAAGCTGATTATCATATTCATCTCGACATAATTGCTAATTTTTTATGTGTGGTGAAAACACTTAAGATTTACTCTTAGCAAATTTCAAGTATACAATACCAATTCCACATATAAGAGATTGTGCAGTATTTTTCTTTGCTTATTTCTCTTAACATAATGGTTTCCAGGTTCATACATGTTGTAACAAATTTCCTTTATCATTAAGGCTGAATAATATCCATTGTGTGTTTGTATATCCACAGTTTTTTTAATTTTGACATGGATATGTATCAAAATTATATATCAAATTTCATGATCCATTCATCTGTCAAGAGACATATAGGTTGTTTCCATATCTTGCCTCTTACGAATATTGCTGCAGTGAACATGGGAGTGCAGATATCTCTTTCAGTTACTGATTTTGTGTCTTTTGGATATATACCCACTAGTATGTACTGCTAGATCTAGGATATTTATATTTATAATTTTTTTGAGGAATCTCCATACTGTTTTCCATAATGACCATACTAGTTTACATTCCCATGAACAGTGGATTAGATTGCCCTTTTTTCTACATCCTCACCAACACTTGTCTTTTTGATAATGACTATCCTAATGGGTGTGAGGTGATATCTCATTGTGTTTTGTTCTTAAAAATATTTATGGATGTATAATAGTTATATTTATGGAGTTCATGTGATACTTTGATATAAGTGTACAGTGTGGAATGACCAGATCTGGGTAGTTGAGATATCCATCCTGTCACACATTTATTTCCTTATGTTGAGAACATTCCAAATCTTTGCTTCTAGCTGTTTTGGAAATAGACAATAAATTATTGGTAACTATAGTTGCCTGTTATGCAACTGAACACACTAGAACTTATTCCTTCTGTCTAACTGTATGTTTGTATCCATTAACCAAACCTTCTTCATAGCCTTCTCACCACTACCCTTTCCAGCCTCTGGTAAGCACCATCTATTTACTACCTCCATGAGACCAAATTTTTAAAAAATTTTCCTACATAGGAGTGTGAAAAACATAAGGTATTTGTCTTTTTGTGCCTGGCTTATTTCACTTAACAATGGCCTCCAGTTCCGCCTGTGTTGCTGCAAATGACAGGATTTCATTCTTTTTTATGGCTGAATAATACTCCATTGTGTATATAAAACACTTTTTTTTAATCCATTGATGGAAACTTATTCCATATCTTGGTTATTGTGAATAGAGCTGCAATAAGCGTGGAAGTGCTGACATCTCTTTGGTAGACTGATTTCCTTTCTTTTGTATGTAAATCCAGCAGTGGTATTGTTGGATAATAGGTAGTTCTATTTTTAGTTTTTTGAGGAACTTCCATAATGTTTTCCATAGTGGCTGTACTGATTTACATTCCCACCCACCAACAGTTTACCAGTGTCCCATTTCTCCACATCTTTCCTAGGATTTGTTATTATCTGTCTTTTTGATAATAGTCACTTTGAGGTAAGATAATATCTCATTGTGGTTATGAGTTGCATTTCCCTGATGATGATTAGTGATCATTTTTTCATATACCTGTTAATAATTTGTGTCTTTTTTTCTTAAAAGAAAAGCCATTTCTTTTAAGAAATGGCTATTCAGATCTTTTGCCCGTTGTTAAATTGGATTTTTTTTTTTTTGCTTTTGAGTTTGTTTGAATTCCTTTTGTATTCTGGTTATTAATACAAACTGTTGTATTAGTTTGCATGTATTTTCTTCCATTCTGTAGGTTGTCTGTTCACTTTGTTTATTGTTGCCTTTGCTGTGCAGAAACTTTTTATCTTGATGTAATTCCATTTGCCTGTTTTTGCTCTTATTGCCTGTGCATTTGAGGTCTTACTCAAGAGGTCCTTGCCCAGACCAATGTCCTGAAGTAGTTCCCCAGTGTTTTCTTTTAGTAGTGTCATAGTTTTAGGATTTACATTTAAGTCTTTAATCTATTTTATTTGATTTTGTATATGATGAAAGATAGGTATCTTGTTTTTTCTTCTGCCTATAGTTATCCAGTTTTTCCAGAACCACTTATTGAAGAGACTGTCCTATCCCCAATATATGTTCTTTTTATTTATTTTTTTTTCTTTTAATATTTTTTAATTATTTAATTTCTTACTTTGTTTTTCTTTTTTTTTCTTTTCTTTTCTTTTTTAGACAATTATAGTTGCACCCAGTATATGTTCTTGATACCTTTGTTGAAAATCAGTTAGCTCTAAATGTGTAGCTTTACTTCTGGGTTCTCTGTTCTCTTTCATTGGTCTATGTGTCTGGTTTTTTTTTTTTTTGCCATTACCATGCTATTTTGGTTACTATAGCTTCATAGTATACTTTTAAGTCAGGTAATATAATGTCTCCAGCTTTGTTCTTTAAGCATTGCTTTGGTTATTTAGGGTCTTTTGTGGTTCCATACGAACTTTAGGATTGTTTTTCCATTTCTGTGAAGAATGTCATTGGATTTTTGTTTGTTTGTTTGTTTAAGATGAAATCTCACTCTGTTGTCTAGGTTGAAGTGCAGTGGCATGGTTACAGTTGACTGCAGCCTTGAACTTCTGGGCTCAAGTGATCCTCTTGCTTTACTAAGAGTAGCTGGAACCACTGGCCATACCACCACATCCAGTTAATTTTTCTTATTTTTTGTAGAGACTTGGTCTTGCTATGCCACTCAGGCTGTCTCAAACTCCTGGACTCCAGCAATCCTGCAGCCTTGGCCTCTCAAAATACAGGCCTGAGCCTCCATGACCAGCCATATTGGAATTTTGATAGGGATTGTATCGATCATTTTGGGTAGTATGGACATTTTAACAATATTAATTCTTCCAATCCATGAACATGAGATAACTCTCCTTTTCTTTAGTGTCCTCTTCAATTTCTTCCATCAGTGTTTTATTGTTTTTATTGTAGACATCTTTCTTATAGGTTAATTTTATATTCTGCAACTTTACTGAATTTGTTTAACAGTTTAAACAATTTTTGGGTGGAGTCTTTAGATTTTTCTAAATATAAGATCACATCATCTGAAAACAAGGACAGTTTGACTTCTTCCTTTCCAGTTTTGATGCTGTTTCTTTCTTTTGTCTAACTGCTCTGACTAGGCCTTCCAGTTCCATGTTGAATAAAAGTAGTGAAAGTGGGCATCCTTGTCTTGTTTCAGATCTTAGAGGAAAGGCTTTCAATTTTTCTCTATTTAGTATGATGCTAGCTGTGGGTTTGTCATATATGGCCTTTATTGTTTTGAGGTATGTTCTTGCTATACTCAGTTCATTGAGAGTTTTTATCATGAAGGGATATTGAATTTTATCAAATGCTTTTTCAGCATCTATTTAAATCATATGGTTTTTGTTCTTGATTCTGTTAATGTGTGGTATCACATTTATTGATTTTATGTATGTTGAACCATCCTTGCATCCCTGGGATGAATCCCACTTGATCATGGCAAATTATCTTTCTAATGTGTTACTGGATTCTGTTTGCTAGTATTTTATTTAGGATTTTTACAGGTATGCTTATCAGGGATATAGGTCTGCAGTTTTCTTTTTTGTGTGGTGTCTTTGTCTGATTTTTGTATCAGGGTAATGCTTGCCTCTTAGGAGTTTAGAAGTATTCCCTCCTCTTCAATTTTTTGGAATAGTTTGAGTAACACTGGTATTAGTTGGTGTTAGTTTTTCTTTAAATATTTGCTATAGTTCAATAGTGAAGCCATCAGATTTTTCATAGATGGGAACTTCTATTACTGCTTCTGTCTCATTACTCATTATGGGTCTGTTCAGGTTTTCTGTTTCTGCATGGCTGAATCTTGCCAGGTTATATGTGTCTAGGAATTTATCCTTCTAGATTTTCCAATTTTTGGCATTTGGTTGTTTGTTTGAAGGTTTTCTTCTTTTTTAATGTTAGTGTATATTGCTATAAATTTCCCTTTGTTACTGCTTTTGCTGTTTCCTGTAGGTTTTGGTATGCTATTTTTATTATTTCAAGAAATTCTTTGATTTTCTTCTTAATTTCATCATTGATCTATTGATCATTCAGGAGCATGTTGTATAAGTGTCATTTATTTGTATGGTTTCTGGAGTTCCTCTTGTTATTGATTTCTAGTTTCATTTTATTGTGGTCAGAAAAGAT